AAATTAACAAGGAAGGGTTGAATGAATTCCGAATAAAATTCGTCATTTATGTATTCAAGATGTGTAAACTATATAATAATCAGAATATATGATAGTTGTTATTAAAAGTTAGATAATATATATATTTAATGAACACTCTTGTATGAGTCATGAACAATACTAAGGCTTATTTGCATGGGATGTACATTATGACAGCACATAGTCATGTATCAATGTCAAGTACCAGTATATATATATTCAATTTATTATAATTTACCTGGCTTGTGTCAATTGTCTGCATTTTGAAACTTTTTGGGTACACCCTAAAATACCCGCTCTCACTTATTTTGAACTTTATATGTACATCCCTATAGTGCATATTTATGTTATGTATAATATGTAATCCCATAGATATATATGTATCTATACTTTGTATATGTTTCACATTCTTTTGTAATCTTCATCACCGGAGGTAAGAAAGAGAATGATGATAATACAAAAGGAGGTGACAGATGATACAACATTCAGTATAGAGAACACGATTTTGTATACAAATACAAAGTTGATCAGATATGGAAATTCAAATGGGTTCCGTCAGTCCGTCTGGATGCTGCTTTCCGCCTGATATCTTTTGAAGGACGGGTAGGATTTTGATGAAGTCTCTTGGTGACCTATTGCAATCACCTTCTTCCGGTGTTGTGTGTCGTGCTTCCCTAATCAATTTAACATTTTCGACTTCTCAAAAAAACCTGATCCGAATTTAAGAAATTTTGCAGAAACCTTCCCTGTCCAAAGATTAACCAAACCTGTGAATTATACTGTCCCTTTCCCACATGGGCCTGAATGTGGGGCCGGATGGTAGAATCAAATGCTCTTCATGGAAAGAACCTTAATTACCCAAATGAGTCACATTTCTTCCTGGGGAGGATTTGTTTTTAGAGTTTCAGATTTTAAATTATGATGATGTTGACATGTTGGTATGTGCTTGTTGTTTTCTGATGAGTAAAGCACAAGCACATTCATATAAAATCTTCAGACGTTTTACAATTAGATTTACTGCCTCAGTAGGCCTATATGATGAGACAATGCCATCAAAATCAATTATGACTAGTCTATTATAACATCATGAAAATAGAACATAAGTATGAATATGTTTATATTTCAATTTTTACAGAGCTACTAGGAACTTCCAAATTTACCGTTTCATGTAAGCATTGAATCCTGTTTCTCTATTTCCCTAATAAGTATGTTTATTTAATCTTAATATAAAACCTCCACCTTTCTTAAGGAAGATACAATCAAGCATTTTAAAAAGAGCAAGATTTTTACTAAAAAAATATGTTATGAAATTAATGCTCCAATCATTACTCCACATTCCTCTCAACTCTTGATAGTCTCTTTGTAAGCTTAATAGGCATGCTAATGTCTGTGATTTTTTTTATAAGATGGTCTCATGTGTATCAACTTCTGAGTGCCAATTCAAATCTGGTTCTAAAAATGCACAAATATAATCCGATTTTAAATCAGTAGATAAGATATATTATAATGTTTATAAATATGGCATCTAATTACATTTTTCTTTATAACTTAATTTTATAATTTAATAAAAAATAATTAGTTTGTTAAATAAAATATCTACTTATCAAAGAAGATACCAAGTTTGTTAAATGAGACATGGTATTTACTTAGGAGATATTTCTAATTCTGTGCCGTATCAATATTGATCCATGAATAAATGAAAACTAAGTCTGCTATAATTGACAGTACAGATTTACTTATAATTGTTGATATTTAACCTATCAATTTAGAAAAAAAAATCTTGCTGGACAGTTGTACTCCTTGAACTGGAATCAGAAGTTTGCCCCTCATCTTTTCATCGAAACAGTAACCTTAAAGGATCTAGATCTAATCTTCCAGTCTGAATATACTGTCATGTTTCAATCTTCTTAATGTGATATTCAGTGCATATTAGAAATATTCAATTTGCATGCCACCTTTTTAGTTATGTCCCTCCAATCTTTAAGGGTATGCAATGTTGTCATTTAATAATGATATCTGTGCTTCATTTTCAATTTCCATGAGACACTGACATGTATATAACACAATGCTACACATAGATATCCTTATTAACATTCCAACAGATCACGAATACATTTTATAAGTTTCATCTTCAATACTTGCAGTATTCATTTTCAAATGTAAAACTTGGTTTGTGTCCATTGAACAATATGAAGCAAAATTGCATAGACAAGTGCCACATTACCAAACATAAAACATAAAATTCAATGTATTAATTTATTTATTACTGCATATTGAGTGTATTTGATAAAAGGCAATATAATGATTGGAATTTTCTACCAAAAAAAAATGATGGAAGAAGAGAAGTCATACAATTCATGCAAATGCAACACAATCACTTCTAAAATTGTTTGCTGGGTTCATTGCTCATAAACAGCCATGATCATTTTGAGACAGGGTATTTTTGCAGTAGATGATGACTACCATGGTGAGTTCCATGGGGCCTACATCGCTTACCTGGCTAATTCAGCTATTAAATCAGTTAACTGAGAGTAAGATCTATTGTTCATACAAAATTGAGTTCAAATTCTTCAGACTTTGGTAATGTTTTGTTAGGAAAAAAGAAAAAAAAAATATATTTAAAAAACCTATTGCACACCATACCACTGGCCTTTGGGAGGTCAGACTCCTTGTTTATACAAAATTAAGTTCCATTCAATCAAGTATGTTTCAGGCTAAATTGGAACAAAATCAAGGCATTCCCACAAAAAATATTGTCCTTATTTCCCTATTGGGCTCACCCTTTCCACCTCAGGCACTAAAGACACATGGTTAATCCCCAATAACCAAATCATACTTCAGACCTAATTGGGCCATTTTAAAGAATTTACTTTATTTCCACTATTGGGTCACAACACTTCCACTCCAGGGGTCCCAGGGACCCACCGTTTACACAAAATCAGTCCTATTCACCAAAGATGCTTCATAAAATCTTTGGGCAAAATCCAATAATTCCTACAGAAGTAGAATTTTAAAACAAGATGCCCAGAGGGCCTGTATCGCTTACCTGGATCTTTTATGACCATCACCACTGTATCTGTGCATATGTTCCACGTTTCACACATTTGACTCCTGTGACCTTGACTATGGTTCAAGGTCATTTCTTTTCCTTTCTTGGACTTCATTAAAGGAACATAGTTGCCAAATAAAATGATTCTAGGCTTTTCAATATTTCAGAAGAAATTGTTTAAATGTTTTAACACATTTGACTCCTGTGACCTTGAAGATTGGTCAAGGTCATTTCTTTTTGCAAATTTTGTTGGGCTTCATCAATGGAACCTTCCAGCGAAATATAATGATTCTAAGCCTTCCAGTATTTTGGAAGAAGTCATTTTAAGGTTTTAACACATTTGACCTCTGTAACCTTGAATATGGGTCAAGGTCATTTCTTTCTGCAAACTTTGTTGGGTTTCATGAAAGGAACCTTCAAGCCAAATATAATGATTTTAGGCCTTCTGGTGTTTTGGAAGAAGTCGTTTAAATGTTTTAACACATTTGACCTCTGTGACCTTGAATATGGGTCAAGGTCATTTCTTTTTGCGAACTTTGTTAGGCTTCATGAAAGGAACCTTCCAGCCATATATGATAACTCTATGCCTTTCTGTATTTCAGAAGAAGTTGTTTAAATGAAAAGTTGATGGACGCCGCACTATGGCATAAGCTCACTTGGCGCTTTTGGTTAGGTGAGCTAAAAATCCGATGACTTCTTCAGGAGAAGCTGGATTTCAATAAATTTGAACAATTTACTTTATTGGACCCTATCCCGTCTGTCCGAGGGGCCGAAATCCATCATTTATACAAAATTAATTCCCTCGGACCAGTTGAGACCCCATTCCACCATTGATATAGAATTTGTTCCCCTTCTCCATGGATGCCTCTGACCAAATTTCATCAAAACGCACCTTGTCGTTTATGACTAGTAGCAATAGTTAAGGCAGAAAGAGTTTCATAGATCTCAACAGTAATCTGACTTTGAAGATCTATATGATATGACAGCAAAAGTACAAGGAACATTTGTGAAATCATTAAAACAACCAGTACATTATAAAAGTAAAGGGAAACAAGAGGCCCTATGAACTTGAAGGGCTGATTTCTTTAACAAGAACTGGCTTTATAGGTCCACATCATACCAACAATCTAGTCATGAACACTGTAAGCATTCATGATGTATAGAGACCCAGTGCCATGAGTGGAGTCACAGATCCCATACCTTGTAATTCATAATATACTTATATTAAGATTGCTTTACAATTAACACATTAACAATTTTGCAAAACTTAAGCCAATATATAATAGATTTATACAAATTTTCTAAAGTCTAGTCGCATGCTTCCCCTCCCCCACAATATTGGGTGTATAAATATCAAAATTCATAACAAGTGGAACTTAACCATAACATATTTTAATGAATCTGTAACATCTTCAGAAAAAAAAAGTACTTATTTACTAAATACCACCTGTCAGTGATCCCTGTTATAAAAAAAATAGAAATGGAGGATCCTGCCAGACTGAGATGAAAATATCTACTGTCCTCCTGTATCAGAATGACCTCATTGATTTGACATAGTACCTGTTGCATGCTGAAGAGACAGCTTAAGGGAGGAGAAGGAAAAGGGCAATAACCACGGATCAGAGGCGATGGTAGTTTCACACCCTTGACCAGCGTATGGTAGAACTCTGTTAACAGGAACATGCATCCTTTACCAATTTCCTGATCATCGACAAACTCTGTTGCATTCTAATTACAAGTTAGGCCACTGTTGTCCATATATTTTTAATGCTGACAACAAGCTTAGCACTTGTTGCTCCTAGGTTAGATAAGTGTTTTGAGCATGACAGACATCTTGAGTTATGCTTTACTTCTATAATTCACAAAAATTTGCAGACCTTATGTTGTATGCATGTTATTCCTCTCCAAGTCTTTAAAATCCTCAAATAAAACTTTATCCATCTTTTACGACTTTATGCTTTAAGCGTGTTCTCTGATCTGTTGTCCTGGCTGCTAAACGTGGAGAACACCTTTTTGTTAAAGTCACACTTCTATTTGGTGTGTGATTCAAACTCTTAAGAGGTGATAAAGCATGTCCTAATTGAGAATTTCGTCTTTTAGCTATGGACATATTGTCACCACCTCGCAATTTTCTTTTTAAAGGTGTGATACTCTCAGCCATCTTTCCTTCATCTGAAGTGGGATTGAATATGACCTGATCAGTCTTGCAAGCGTTACTACTTCCACTGATTTCTACTGCTCTTTCTAAGTTGCTAAACTGCTGAATCAGTGTTGTTGTAGTCTGTAAAGATAAAGAAATAGGGTCAATTAAATTGGTTGATGACATATTGCAACTTGGGTCACAATTCATTTTTTTTAATTCAGTTTCAACATAGTAAAATCTAATATTTCAACTAAACCTGTCAGTATGACACTTATGCCCCACCTGACAACTGATGAGAAGTATTAACAGTAGTCAAGTCAATTCAGGTTGAACCAAGACAAAATAGCAACAGAAATTATTTATTGTTTTTATAATGATTGGAATACATCATGTGTAATAGCAAAGTTTACATGTGCATTGACAATGTTTACATGTGTTATGGCAAAGTTTACATGTGTATTGACACTGTTTACATGTGTAATAGCAAAGTTTACATGTGTATTGACAATGTTTACATGTGTTATGGCAAAGTTTACATGTGCATTGACAATGTTTACATGTGTAATAGCAAAGTTTACATGTGTATTGACAATGTTTACATGTGTTATGGCAAAGTTTACATGTGCATTGACAATGTTTACATGTGTTATGGCAAAGTTTACATGTGTATTGACAATGTTTACATGTGTAATAGCAAAGTTTACATGTGTATTGACAATGTTTACATGTGTTATGGCAAAGTTTACATGTGTATTGACAATGTTTACGTGTGTAATAGCAAAGTTTACATGTGTATTGACAATGTTTACATGTGTATTAGCAAAGTTTACATGTGTATTGACAATGTTTACATGTGTTATGGCAAAGTTGACATGTGTATTGACAATGTTTCCATGTGTAATAGCAAAGTTTACATGTGTATTGACAATGTTTACATGTGTATTGACAATGTTTACATGTGTTATGGCAAAGTTTACATGTGTATTGACAATGTTTACATGTGTTATGGCAAAGTTAACATGTGTATTGACAATGTTTACGTGTGTTATGGCAAAGTTTACATGTGTATTGACACTGTTTACATGTGTAATAGCAAAGTTTACATGTGTATTGACAATGTTTACATGTGTTATGGCAAAGTTTACATGTGCATTGACAATGTTTATATGTGTTATGGCAAAGTTTACATGTGTATTGACAATGTTTACATGTGTTATGGTTAAGTTCACATGAGTTAAGTTTACATTTGTGCTTACCTTGGTGAGGTTAGAGAGAATTGTATCTCCCTCTAACAGTCGATCACATGTGACATTATCATACAAACAGGAAGCACCCTTTGAAGGCTCACTATCATCAGTCATTACACAGATCTGGCTCTGTAACAGCAATAAGGCCAATTGTATAAAATGGTACAAGATTAAGTGCTGGAATTACTAAAAGGCTAAACATTTTGAGAATATATATATTAGTAATCTCACCAGGGTGAAGACTGTCTTCAAGCAAATCAAGGAGGCAGCGGTCTGGTTTTCCATACTTGGATTTGAGAATGGGGAGTTGCTTTTTTAGTAATGACACTAACTTTGATGCTTTTGCTCCAAAATTGTTTATAATGTGAAGAGGTGTTTTTGCGGATTGGTTCGGATTGTACAGCACTTAATCTCTTTCCTTTATATCAGACAATAACTGGGTTATGAAGTCTGCTCCTTCTCTTGGTAATTGTAATTTATTTGACTCTATGTATTCTATTAAATCTTTCTCTGATCTCTATAAAAGATAATTGTTAATTGTCTGATGTGTACACATTGATATAAAAATAATGTAGGTGTTCGCTGTGAACCTCTTTTTCAATTAAACAATGACTTGTCAGTAACATACAAAATATATGCAAAACGAAAGTATATGAGACATGCCAATATAACCCTATTGAAATTTCTTTGATTGAAACTACAATGAGACTAGAAATGTATGACAATGAAAAATGTGAAACATTTAATTTAAAACTATGACAATGACTCCTCAACCCAGGATACCTGTAATAGACTCTTGTCCATCTGCAAGTATGAGCTGCAGAACATCATCGTCAAAATTTACAAAATTCTGTGACCATCGGGTTACCAGGACTCCCCCCAGACAGTAAAAACTTAATCTGTGTTTTATCCGACTTCTGTCACTACGTGTTGTGCGAGGATGGCAAGGATTAAAAACAAAACGATAATTCGCCTGTCTTCAAGTCAAACATTTATTGATGATGAAACCCAAGTGAACAAAGGTAATAACAATGTGTCTAAAAGTCATGAAGTCCAGAATAATGTATATTTGACTACATATTTACGATAGAGCATCACAATATGCATTTCAAAACTGATATGTTCAAATTTTCTCCAACAAGTGAAACTGTGTAAAAGTGTTTGAAATAACCATGCAGGTGCAGGCATGAAATATGCACCTCAGCTTGCAGCTTGTGGTGCTCATACCTTAGCAACCCCTGGTGGGGGTTGTACAACTGTGATTTATATGAAATTTCATCAAAATCTAATAAGGATGGAGCCCATAGCAAAATCTCACTTGAGCATCTAGCTTAAGTGAGCTAAAAAGATTAAAACAAAATGTTTTTAAAAAAATCAAGATTATGTAGGTAGACATCTACCAAAGGCTATTTTATACAGCCTGCAGACACCTAACCTTCCACTGAAATAGACATCTACTTACTAAATATTCTGTTTCTGCAGTGATCAATTTCTTCATTTTGTACTTGAACCGTTTCCCTGTTGTTTTTCTGTTTTGAGCTGCTTTTACAACGGCATCATCCAGTTTTGTTGATAAGGTGTCAGTGATGAATACCTTTTTCGATACGTCCAGAGGTTCATTTTCTGTAAGGGAGAACATCTGTTTTCAAAAATGTTCTGTATTTCTCATTTATGAAAATTAATAAACAACGTATAAATAAAGCAATGCTTATTTCTCAATAGAGTTTTAGCATCATCCAGTATTAAGAAGACACTATTGTGATATAACATATCAAAACTTGTTTTTCATCTCATGAAATACATTATCATTTTCAGATTTCCCAGTGAGTACTAGGACATTACTTTCTCCACTATCCTCCTAGCATCAAGCATACAAAGCAAATCATGGAAGATTATGACCAAGGGCATTCATTTGAACAAACTTGGTAGACTTTTATCATGATATGATATCGGCTTGATATGACCCCAACAATATTGGGTTTCCATTAGCTTGACATCTGGGGCTACCAAAATTTCAGTTGGGGCTAGTGGAAATTACAGACTCACTAGCCCCAGGCTAGTGACTCTCCGTAAACATTTTTTTTCCAAGCAGACACGTAAGAATTATGATCATTTCCAATCATAACATCTACAGCTTACATTTGTCACTCATTCAATAGACATGCATTCCAAGTCCTTCATTTCATCATGTTACAGGCCCAATATTAATATCAGAGTGATTACTGTATATCCAGTGGCAAAAAAAAAAGTTCATTTTTGTGCAAAACCAGTAGACAATATCTTTGATAAGAGGCACTGCAGAGGGTCTGCAGCGGTCACCTGGTATATGTATATACCAAACAAACGTCATGCCTCTCTGCCTTTAAGTTCATGAAAAGAAGTCATTTAAAGGTTTTAACAAATTTGACCCCTGTGACATTGAGAAAAAAATCAAAGTAATTTTATTTCGCAAACTTTATTGGGCTTCATCCTAGGAACATACCAGCCAAATATCATGTTTCTAGGCTTCAGAGTTCACAAGAAAAAGTTATTAAAAGTTTTTCTTAACAAATTTGAGCCATATTACCAGAAATACAAGTCAACGTCCTTCTTTTTGTAAACTTTGTAAGGCTTCATTCAAGAAACACACCAGCCAAATATCATGCCTCAAGGTTTTTAGTTCATGAGAAGTCGTTTAAATGTTTAGCAAAATTGACCTCTGTGACCTTGAATACAGGTCAAGTTTCATCCTAGAAAAAATTTGATGCTGGACAACGGATGGACACTGCACCACGGCATACATTCACTTGGCCCTTTGGGACAGGTCAGCTAACAAATTATGCTTAAAAACCTATTTTTCCTATATAAACTATGGTAAACTTTACCCCCTCCCATAGAGAAATGTGAGAACCTGACGCCATGGAATTCTCAATTTTGGTAAAGCACCTTCAGTGCTTCCATCCATGAAGAGCATCATACAATGTATTTGATTCTGCCATGCCTAGGTGTTAAGGAAATTATTTTTGAAATCTGCCTCAATTTGACCCATTTTGGTCCCACCCATCAGCCCCTGTTTGTCAGATAGGATCATTATGGGCATAGCATCAAGCTGTCATCCTTTGCTCAGAATTCTAACCAAATCTGAAATGTTTCCAATGGAAATTAAACAAATCATGCTGAAAATCTATATTGCCTAAATAAACCACAGTAAATTTTATCCCTCCCCACGGGGATATTTGAGACTCTTGGGCCATGAAATTCATAATTTTGGTTAAGCACCTTAAGATGCTTCGATCTTTGAAGAGTATTTGATTCTATCATATCTGGGTGTTGAGAAGATTTTTGAAATCCAAGTCAATTTGACCCCTTTTGGTCCTTCAGGACCCTGTGGAGTGGGGACCATATAATTCACTCTTTTGGTTTATTTAATGCCGGGGAAGGTTTCTCAAAAATTTCATTGAAATCGGTCCCATGGTTTTTGAGAAGTCGAAAATGTTCAATTGTTTACAGACACACAAGGTTGGAGGTGATCGCAATTGGTCGCTATGAGACTTTATCTCAGGTGACCTAAAAATAAGGATGCCCAGCCTATTACACTGCCAAGAGGTTGAGAAAGGCGAGTCTGTGGTGGGATCTTACCATTTTGAGCTGCAACCCTGCCATGTTATGCCCAGTGACAATGATTCAAGTGATAAATCTGAGGATGGTGCCGACCAGTGACAGCATGGCAATAAGCCCAAAAATCTGTCTAATCATGGTAATTCGGCTCATTTGATAGTCACTAGGTCTATACCTGACAGAAAACACATGTATGGGTCTGCTGACTCTCATATTGACAACGTCATCAGTAATCACAATTCATGTCACAGATATTCTTATGTCAGAGAAATGACCAAAGCAGGAACAAACTCACTCACCCGTAGCTGAATGCAAACGGCTATGATTGTTTCTTAGTACTACCCAGGTGACGTGTCAAAATATGGAGATGTTTAAAACATTCTTGCCAGTGACCTTCTATTAAAAGTGGACAGTTTTTAAACATGTTTCAACGAGTTATAGCATACATGTTTACAAGTGATCATGACCATGCATCTTTAAATCAGAAAAGTTGAAAAGTTTCATGAAAGAGACGTATAAATTCTTTAATATTACCTGTCGTACAATCCTCATCATTTTCAGCATCAGCCCAGTTCTGTCCACCACCCTCGATATTTAACTTGAAGGCCGAATCAAACACCTAACCAAACAAATTTGTTATGAACTTTACTTATCACTATATTATATAATCAGCATGCAGGTACAGATTTTAAATATTTGACCTCACCCAGCTGTCTCACCAATTTAAGAATGCATATGACTATTGGTTAAAACATTATTTTAAATAAATTTCAGTAAGACTGGCATATGATGGCATATGTCTCATCTACTGTAAATTTGCAGGTATAGTGCGCAGGTACGTTATTCTATAAGAACAAAGCTATTGCAATACATTGATAAGTCTATCTATCGTTACAAAACAATTGCTGATATAATGTACATGGGCTTGCATCCTTCTCAGCCCCACTAGTAACAAGGAAATGTCTAGCATGATCAGCCCTAGCACAGTTTGAATATTACACAGCCAAGTTCAAGACTTAATCCAACATTTCTTCAAAATCGTTTGTAACAATTAATTAATAGGCAATTTTAAAACAGCCAAGGTCATCATTTTTTTTCTATCATTGTACTCTGTTCTCGTAATCTCACATTCCCTGTTCTTGCAGCAAATGAAAAGATGGCTGTAATATCATAAATTGGACGAAGAGATTCCTGATTTAAGGAAATTTTGCATGGATCCTAATAAAGTAACTATCTAGGCCTATCATCAATGGATATATCACACAGCATCCTCGATACCCCAGGAGGTACAATCACTTTTGCTCTCTGCAACCGTGGTAAAATTGAAGGCACAAGCGAAGTAATTTTATTGGTTCCAGGAGGAAAATAGTAATAAAGGTTCGCACATTGAACTTTCAGTTCTGACATGACATGATCTGGGGGCGCAGAGAGCGAAAGTGATGGAAGTATCGAGGGTGGTCACTGTAGTATCAAAATGACGTAAAATAAACATGTGATTTTCATTCATAATAACGTAACTTTATAAGCAGAGCGTACCAAATTTTAGTGCATACACGAGGATTTTTCTTCTGTGTGAGAAACATGGACTTGGGTTATACATCGAACTTAAAACTGTGAAAATAGCAACACAATATACAGGCGACCCTGTGAGTAGGACCTAAAGTTTGTAAACATAACCTGTGCATTGTGATATACCTCATTAAAGCGAGTCCTTGTGGTATTTTTTTGGCATCCACTTAGTGCAGCGTGTTCACTTATGGTATTAGCAATATTTGTTTGCACACAGTCTGTTATCTTTAGTGCGCTATTCCGACTATAACAAGAAATCTTCGCCGAGTTGACCTCGTTTACGGCTTCCGCCATTTTAAATTTGTCCCGCTATCTTGACGCGCATGCTCATTGGAATGATCAGAATTTGTTCATATATTCGGATGTAGATATCAACAGAGACATATATAACGTCTCTGATATTAATATCGATAAAGAGTCTAGGCCGATTCTGCCCGATCCTGTAAATCGTCTTTCGGTCCAGTGCGGCACATTACGTTATGTGGACAGAACACGATATCTTTTTTTTGGCCGTTTTTGTCAATATGAAATTATGATATTTTAACTAAGGTCATTTACCACCACAATAATTACACTAAAACAATTTAATGTCCAAATTCTACATATAAATCGCCCGATTCTGTCCGACCCTGTAAATCGTCTTTCGGTCTTGCGCGACCAAAACAGATATGAGTGTTTTATGTAAATACGTCTTCAGTTTTCTTTTCCATGTAATACATCTCCATTTTTGGTCAATTTGAAACTTAAATATTTGAATAATAGTCATTTAGAAACAAAATATTTACACTAAGAACAATTTAATTCCCAAATTCTACATATAAACCGCCCGATTCTGCCCGATCCTGTAAATCGTCTTTCGGTCTTGCGCGACCAAATGAGAAATGGGTGTTTTATGTAATACGTCATCATTTTTCCTTAAAAACATTTCACAATGTGTAACATATGATAATATCAATGCAAAAGAAATTCATAAAAATCATTAAAACGGCACTATTCCTGCCCGATTCTGTAAATTGTCTAACCGATTTTATTTCACGACAATGATATTTAGTTGAGACTCATGATCATATCATTGTGGGTCCTGTCACCAAGGAGACCAAAAACTGTTTAGTATCTCTATATGTACTGGCAGTAGTGAAGAGTTGGGTTTTTTTACCAGACGCCTGTCGACAAACCAAAAAATACAAACAACCCAAATCAAAAGCCATATAGGTTAGATGAGCATGCCAAAGCTGCAGATGCATTCAAACTCGAAATAAGACAGGTTCTAATAACTCTTTCTATTCAGAAAACGTGTCTTTCATTGTTGAAGCCTGTGGGCACGGCACTTTCACGGTAGGGTACGTTTGTTTATATATAATATAAGGCCTAAATGCTGTACCGAATATTTCTTAGTATTTCAAAAATTATTTTAAATAAGTGATGAAAATTTATTTTGAAATGTTAAATTCTTCAAAGATCAAAGTTACAAAGCAGATTTACTATAATAATGATTATTTCTCTTACATTATATGTATCACGTTTATGAAGTACATATTTTTTAATAAAAAGAAAGTTGATAGATGAAAAAGTTATGTCAGATCAATATCTGTTCATGAATTAGTCCTAACAACTTAACATTTTATAACTGACGGAAATCCAACATCTATTTGTTGTGTTTTACATGTGTAGAAGCTGAGAGCTATAGGTCGCTATAAGCCACAGAAGGCGGGAATTTTCCTTTACTTTGGCGGTAGAGTGACCAGCTAGAGACCGAATGGTCGCTAGTTCGAACCCCAGCGATGGCAGGATGTTTTTCATTACTCCTTCCTATTACAGATTTTTTTTTGTAATTATCTTTTTATTTCCATTTTAATGTACAATACACATCATCATTATCATCATCACCACACAATCACCACCACCACCACCATCATCATCATCATCATCATCATCATCATCATCCTCATCCTCATCCTCATCATCATCACACTTATCATCACTATAATCATCCTCATCACACCATCATTATGTATCAATCATCATTATCATCACATCACCTCCACTACCACAGCCAACTTCATCATCTCAAATCAATATCATTGTCATCATCACCACAACCATCATCATCATCATCATCATCATCATCATCATCATCATCATCATCATCATCATCATCATCATCATCATCATCACACCCTGATCATCATCATCATCATTACAAATCAAGATCATCATCACCATTTCATTATTATCATGATCCTTATCACCACCACCACCATTATACCCTCATCATCATCACAATCATAATTCTCATCTCTACATCACTATCCACACCATTTCACACCTCACAAAATTCAGTAATCTTAACAGCATACATCAACTCCAGGGAGCAGTAACCAAAGATTTCAAGAGATGGTGTATTTAATATCAGAAATGCTGACTAAAACAAAAAACAAAAAAAAGGACACAGATGCCAACAAATTTTTCAGATATGTATTGCACATAATTTACTGGACAGAAAAAAACAGTGAGAAATAGGAAAAGCATTTAAGAAAAAAGATGAAAGAAATGGATGGAAGACCGAGAGGACAAGAATGGCCTTGTCAAGGGTTTGGAAACATCCTACTTTCGTATAAATATATATTATATATTTGAGGATAGAATTTACAAGTAGAATTTATCAGAATCCGACTACATGTCAATTAACCTTTTCCATTTACTCCATTCTACATCAAACTTCTCCTTAACAGTATCGCCCTTACTAACAGCAATATATTTTTGAACTTTGTAATTGTCTTTAATGGAGTTTACCAATGAGTTTATATGCAAAGAATTATGCAGACACCTCATTCTATATATGTACTGCTTCATGATAGTTATAATTTCATTATCTACCCTATTGATATGGGAACTTGAAAAAATTCCAAAGAAGAAAGATTTTTTATTAATTGAAAAAGGAATAAGTAATGCCTGTAATAGTATTTCAAAACTTTGTAGTAAATTATGTACTTCATTACATTCCCATAAAATGTGAGTAATAGTTTCTCTTTCAGAGTTACATAAAATACAGAGAGGTGAGCTAACAAGACCAATTCTACAGAGAAAAGAATTTGTCAGAATATGATGAACTACTCTGAACTGGAACCATTGAAGTCCTATTACAGATTTAATACGACTGACTATATCTTGCTTACAATGGGAAAATACCACCAATAATATCTAAGGCCGGATAAGATCTGAGGCCGAAAAGTACTCCTACTTAGTGACGTACCTGTCTCTAAAAAGGGGAGGACGAATCGGCCAGCTAGATGTAAGCATCTGCCAGACTGTCTTATAATACCCAAATACATTACTATATAGTTAATATTATTCCTCGAAATACACAGTGTGCAATCAGGCTGACATCCGGGCATAGAGTGATGTACAGGTAAGGTAATTATAAATAAGCACACCCAATCAAAATGTTGAAAAATACAACCAGAGGGAATCCACAACGGGAATACCCCGATACACTAAATGGATTCTATGATCACAAACACACGTTCTGCCGCACTGGACATGGATACATGTGCAAATTGTATAAATTTAAACCAAAACCTTTCACACATGTGATTTCAGTTTGGGTGAGGTTTGTAGCCATGTAGCTGTTTTGTTATTTGTGGAAATTGGAGCGAAACTGGACTAAATAGCAGTTCTTCAACAAGTATGGCTTGTCATGATCAGTAATAACAAATATATTTCACTCATGTGTCTAATATATTTATTTGTATCTTTCACTCGTGTTGCACATTGAGAGATATTAAAATATTGGACGAATATGTGAAATATATTTATCATTCCTGAAGACACCATTAGATATCCTCTATATATTTCTCACACGGTGGATCATTGAGTTTGATAAGATTTGGGACGAAATTGGTCCATTTTAGCGGATATTTCATCACATGAAAATTGGCTTAAAACCGTCCTTGTGAAAAAGGAGATGGCCACCCTATCGCAAATAACATCGTTTGTCGACTGAGAAAGTACTGAACCATATGACATAATTTGAAACTATTATTCTTCGAAAAGTGTTATACTAACAAATTGGTTTAAAATTATATTCTAATTAAAAGAAAAATTGTACTACGAACTCACATTTCGTCAGTTCTACGGCATCCATCCATCCATCCATCCATCATTTTCACTTTTCTTAGGTTAAAATTCACAAGTAATAACAACTTGATGTAAAAAGAGAAAATATGACATGTCATTTAATTTTCAACATACAGAAAATTGTATAAGTTTATGAAAATGCTCGTTTAATGGACTACTCAGATTTTCTTAAGGGTGATGAAATATCTTGATGAAGAGGATCACTCATTGACAAATACTTAACATTCGTATCTTCTGATTCTTGCTCTTAACTGTTGGTATTGACAGTTGTAAGAATAAAGAACAGAAAAAAAAATAAGAAGAAAAAAAAAAAAATCCGAACAGAAAGAGAAACAAAATATTCAGTCAGAGCATTATATGTAACATGTAACCAGCAAATATCCCAGTCTTAAATACATGGCCACACAAAGACCAAATGTGAAACTAAGGCCCGAGTGATACTGACAATTGACTGACTGTCAGCGCTCTTTTTTTTCCCTGTCAGTCCCAAGCATGATCCATTCAGTACGTCAAGAAGTCCATGGTACAAATTCTTGAACAGATAACTATGAACTCTTGTTTGTTTTCCCAATCCCATATGTAATATATGTATGTGTAATATTGCTGCATGTATTTAGTTAAAATACTCAATCCCTTACAGTTTCGAGCCCGTCTCTTAGTACCTGGTATGACACATGTGTTATTGCAGTTTCATGCTCGTGTATATGCTTAAATCGTGTGTATAATCACATGTCATGTGTTTAGGTTGTATTGTCATTGTTCTGGATTATCACTGACAATGATCTACCCAGGACACGTACAGCAAGGCCAACAAGGGCTGATTGATAAGTCGCGAGCCTTGTATCGTAGAAGTTAAGCAGGGATGTCCTTTTCAGTTTTTCCATTCTCTGACTATTTAAGGCTGTGTACCCGAAGACTGGTGTCATCTGGTCACTTTATGTCGAAGAAGTAGCAACCTAAAGTAAACAAGGCAAGTAACATTGCATAATGGACAAACTCGCTGAAAGAGCATTGATTCATTATTTGCACAAGAAAGGTGTAGCACTTAAAGACATCCATGCTGATGTGGTAGCAACACTAGGGAATGATGCCCCTTCATAATCTACAATGAAAATGTAGGTAGTGGAATTTAAGAGTGAAAGGCAGAGATGTTGCAA